GTGGATAGGTGTAGTGGTGGAGGGATATGTGCCGCTGCCGGTGGGACCGCCTGCGTCATGCCAACCGATCATGGCCTATATTCCCCTACGGCACTTTCACTTTTCACGATTCACCCCGACACAGCAAGATCACGGATTTGCTGCTCTCAGGACCCAATCCCTCACCGGTTTCACCCCCTCTCACTAGTCCCTCTCCCTCTCCTTTTCCTTTCCCCTTTCATTTTTCCTCCTCCACGTGTTACCGTCCACAATTGCATTAATCCATGTTACTGTTATTTACTTTGCTATTCTTTGGTGCTTCCGCCCTTTTATTCCTCCAGAAAATCTATACTACAGTGGCTTTATAATTTACGAATACCTACCTTTATCTAAGTTGCCTTTTGTTGCACTCATTCAAACTTTTCGAAGATAGTTCGTCTCGCAAATCTTGGACTGCTGTTTTCTTTTTAAATTCGGTAGGAAGACAATAAAAAAGAAAACAATCATTGCTTATAATTTAATCTGCAAATCTTTATGCACTTTCGTTTTCATTTGAAATACTCGTTCATTCGTCGACATAGGAATTTTTATCATAAAAATTTGTGAGGAGATTTGTCCTTATTTACTGCTAGTTATTCAAGACAACCAATTATAAACTTATGGTAAAAAAGAAATATATGATTACAGAAGGTGCGTTCTTCAATTTCCAACGAAAAAAAGTGTAGTAAATTTGTTGAAGGATGAATCCACTAAAGATACCAAATTGCTTTTATACCTTATATGTGTGACATTTCATCTCATCTCACCGAAGTAGGATGATAACATGCTAAGGTAAATGAGGCACATCATCCTAAGACCAGTCTTCTGTTATGAGGCAGTTGACCGATGGCATTGCCACTGGCACTGCTGGCCATTTCTCTCCGTATTCACCGAGTCAGCATCCCTTAACTACAAGAAACGAGTTTTCATCATGGAAATGAAAATTATGGGCAGAAAATAAATTTAACTGATGATTAAAAAACAGAATGTTGTAGTGTGTGGTGGAACCGCAGGACTGTAGAAAACTGCAACCCCAATCAAGCTTTCTTCTTTAATGGACAGCTATGGACATTATGTGCCAAGTGTAATAAATGAAATTAGCTATCTACCAATCCACTAATTTCAAAATTCGACATTCATGAGCTGTGTCTCATTGCTTATTCTTGAACTGAAAAGTTCTTCAGTTCATTTATTTAATGAGTGAACTAAAATTTGTTTTAATTATTCTATGGCTCAATTTGTCCCACTTCATAGTTCAATCACTTGCTTATATCTTATTTTTAATAAGCATTTTAAAAATTATTGAAACTCGCATAATATCAACAGGATTTTGAGAAGCAAAATTCCATCACACTTATCTGCTTCAGATGTTTGATAGAAGTATTTGCGACAACCGTTATACTTAACATAATTATGTATCCGAGAATAACATTATCATCTAGTCTATTTGCAGTAAATCAAAGAAGTGATATTTAAAGGCATTAGTAGCGCGTACTAAAACACCGCTTATTATACAATGAATAGTACATTGACATATATACTTAAGAAATACAAAGTTAAGAAAAAATTATTATGTCCTTACAGTAATTACAGGAATAATCGCTTACTAATAAAGCCAAAAATTAATAGATATCTGAATTTCATATAGAAATGCTGCGTCAACTTGACCCAACGGTCCCTATAGTACTAACGAAGATTTAATGTTGTCGAAAAATAAACAACCTTCGGAAAGCTCATCCGTAAATATCTTACTGTTCTACATTACTATGATGGGAGATGTATCAATAAGCAGCCAATCATCTCTTTTGGTACCACTAGGAAAGGCTACCAATGTAGTCATTTGATAGCTGTGTTTGTTACTAAAAACAGTTTCTACAATTCCACCGTTAGCATAGTCGAGTAGAGCTGAAGCAACTAGTGACCGACTAAGTTTAAGTGCGAAAATATACGCACACCAGGAAATGCAAACAAATGGAAGTCAAACATTGTTTGCGGCAAGTAACAACGATTACCTACTGTTGCTGACCAGTGCATTGGTCATCTCGGATGAACAACTCAACCTCGTCCCCTTTCCATTTCCATTATAACAATTTGTCTTTTTCGTTTTCTTACTCTTCACTGCTGTTTTAATTTTATACTCCACCTATTTGATAAGCCGAAACTATCCTAAATGTACTGAATGGCATGACTGGGATTTTCTGCTGTTTAATGAAATGTTTTTTAGTGTCGACAAAAAAAAAAACCGTTATTTGTACACACAAAGAACAAGTTATTTTGACCTTTATTGATATATTGAACAGTTGTTTTATTTCAGGAAGACATTTATCCAATTGTTTTAATCTTACCTTAAGTTGACCAATCTGTTTATTTATTTTTATTATTACCTTTATGAAAGAAGCTTGATCATCTGGGATAATCGATTTAGAACAAAATTTTTTATAAACATTTTCGAAAAGCTTCACTGATTTTTGTCGTATATTATTTTAATATAAACGAACTTCTAAAGATCACGTTATGACAGCATTTTTAATTTCATTTTGACCATTTACATTCTTCCCAAACTTTTTGCGACAATATTTAAATGTTATATAACTATAGAGATGTTACCAAAATCTTATTCTCACCAAATTTATATGAACGTTTTATTTTTTGATGTTTCATAAAAATCTACCTTGAATCTAACTCTCATTTCAAATAGCGGAGGTTAAACAAGATCCGTGAAAAAATATGTTTCAAAAGTTTTGAGCAAGTCAGGAAGATATTTCACAATTATCAGCTAATCTGATACGGAATATTTTGAAGTTAAAATTAAGAACTTTTTCTAAGAATAACATAGGACTGTGCCGTTATCACAATTTGAGTGTCATGAATGTTATTTGGTATTATGTTTTCAATAAAAAGTTTTACCTATAAATAAATTTTTAGAAAAGATTACTGACTAGGAAAGCAAGAATTTATTCAGAAAAGCAGACGAATAAGCTTCCAGCTGGCAGAATTTGCATACATATTTCAGGATTTTGGGTAACTGGCCTTTTCGTAAAATTACAACAAAGGAACGTTAGTTTTTTGAACTGTATTGAGAGCAAGCTGCAGGTGCAGATAATGGATAACTGCAAAATATAAGAAATAATTTCAAATCATTTCATAATTAAACCTCTGCAAATTCAGCTGAGTCAGGTATTTTGATAAACTATTAAAAGCTGCTACTTAATAAATTAATCAGTCTGTATGTGCATTGGATTTCAACGTTCACAACTAGAAGAATATAAAAATATTTTACAAAGTTATTAATTCTATTATTTATTTACTGCCGACAGCATTTATGTGTATAATCGAGCATATTAGCAAAAGTTATGGATACGTTGAATACGACGGTGATCGGTCCTCACGCCACATTGTCGTTAAATTCGTATCACCGATGGAATACACTCAGTCCATCATTGATGTCAGAAAATGATGATGACAACAATGAGGTATTTGAATTTGTACCTTTTAATGCAATTAAAAATTAATTTTAATTGACCTTGATGTCTTCCGTCGTAACTTTTTTCTAGAAAAAGTTTTTTCCTATCAGCCTTGTCTAAGCTGTGAAGTTATAAGCAAAATTTATAAGTAAGAAAGATGACTGGCAGTTTTAGCTCCTTTGCTTGACATTAACGGCAATGCCGTAAAACACACTTTTCGATTGTACTAGTCTTGAATTGATCGATCAGATGAAGACGTATGGTCCAATGAAGATTGAACATCCATTTGAGAGCGATGATCAGGCCTACTTCTCTAGTAACTCTGCTGGTACCACTTCTGCTCAACAACTGCAACGTCGTCAACCATCCGGATCATCAACTACGATTCCTACAATACCATTAGCATCTTGCGCCACTGCTGCAGCATCCCTATCATCTGCATTCAACAAACGGCTAGTATCATCAAACAGAACTGTAAGCTTTTGAAAAAATTTCATTTATAGAAATATGACTACTCATCAGTCTTTAACACATACAGCATAGGTTGTAATGTGTGTAAGTCAGAATTTGGAATTATTGTTATCGCAGTGCAACTTTCTCTCCTATTTTATTTTCGCCTGGTATTTCATATTTTTGCATATAATTTTTCTGCATTGCATAGTATGTACAAAACATTGCTTCTTTACTTTTAACGCTATTTTATGTGTTCTAAATATTACGTAAGCAAGCTTTTCACAACCACGTTCCGTTGAAAACCAACCATTCATGCATCTTTCTATTTATCCCACTAATCATAGTACACAATCTCTTCCTGCACGGAAATCTTTAATTTGTATCTTCAGTTGTAATTTCTTTAAAAGCTAAAAATTTATGCTATGAATAACACAGTACTCGCATACCAACGGACTACGGTCCGCAATGCTGCAAAAGCCATTTTTTTAATGAGTGCTTGGAAATAAATATAAGTATTTGGCTCAAAACTTTGCAATGCAAGTGCATCTTAATTACTGACGCCAACATACAACTATACCTGAAACTTTTCCACTGCATCGTTCAACCGGTTTTTGTTCACAGTAACGTCTCAAACAATGGTAAAACATTGCAAAGTGCAATTTTCAACAGATAATTTTCAAGGTATTCTTTTTCCTTATTGCATGTCACATCAACTTGCCCTCCGACAAATCACGTCCATATTATAAATAATAGACAGATAAACATTAAAGAGCATGCTTATAATTTTAATATACGTCATATTTTTTTCTATAATTTTATTTAAATTTGCTACTTTTTTTTTGATTTTAAATGACACAACATTTACTCGGTAATATTCATAAAATTTATGTGCTTGAATACTATCGGTTTTATTATTTAACACAAATATCGCTTTATCTTACTTTTGCCTTTCACATAACAAAAAATTAATTTTTTAAACGAACTACTTAACATTTGGAACACAGTTCATATTTAAATGATTCAAACAATGATCAAATCTACGTCATCATCATCATTATCAGCAGCAACAGCAACTACAGCATCAACAGCATCATGATGCAATCATGACAGCAGACGAAGCGCAGTTGACCAGTGAGAGCGGTTCATCCAAGCAAACTCTCGAGGTGAACAAATACGGAGTGTTTGTTATGTTAATAGTACATATCCGTTTGTGTTCATTAACTTCCTTAAATATACAACAAATATTTCCTTATGTAATTTCTGTCTCATCTCTGACAATTGTTTTGCTTACTTTGCTTTCAAGTTGAATATTATCTGTGACAAAAAAAAGATCTAATTATAAAAGAAATGAAATGACTTTCGGATAATTCATCCATAAAGTTAATCATGTGGTTCAATATTTGTTAATAACATTAATAGAACATAAATTAATTACTTCCTCTCTTTCTTTTTTTATTTTCCCTATGCTCTTTGCAAATTTTAAAGGCGTATGACGAGATTTTTTCCGGATCTGTGTTTATTTTATTTGTCTGGATTCCCTTGCCAAATTTAACACCGATTTCTAGGTTAATCGTAAATTTAAATCTAATATGAATCTGTAAATCAAATATCAACATTGAAGTTATTTTGCTTCTTGACCCTTCTAAATTTGATTTTATTTTATGAATCCATAATTGTGATTTCGGGACTTAGTTTTTCAAATTTTAATATAAGATTATTTACATAAAATTTTATCGTTGTATTTTCACATCTTGACCTTAGGTCTCATACCTATTTCTAATTGCATTTCTGGGACAATGAAAGCTGCCAGTTTTGCATTATTATGGATTCAGTTTTTTATTTTTTACATAACATTAAATGCAATATCTACTTTTCATAATTTCTAAGCAAAGCTTTTAAATCTCAGATTTACCTCAGTCTCTAGATTGAAATTCATGAGTTTTAACGATCAGATAAAAGGATTCATGTTAGATTTGAATATTTGGAGTATGATTTTTGGACATCTGGTCGTTGAATTCGGTAATGGTCAAAACAAAATTAACTGAACGGATATGGCGCCAACTGAATTACTTTGTTAATGCGGTATCCTTTATGTTTAGTGTGGAGCAAAATAAACTTTGGGTGGTTAGGAAATTTAATAGTGATCCAGCAATTAACTTCATTTAATTTCATGCTCATTTACAAAAAAAGCGCATTATCACGCAAGCCTGTCAATACGCGACATTTTGTTTACATTTGTTTTGAATAATGAAAATTGTATGGGCTCACTTTTTTCTTTCCTCCCCCACCTCGCCCCTCTTCTTCCCTGCTGTCTTCTCTTGCAACTCTTTTCGTATGATAAAATCATTTGGCGGAACGCTTTTTTAAAGGTCACCGAAAATATTTTTATCCTATTATGCATTTTTCGATTATTGCATATATGATTTTGAAATTTGAAAATTTGAATGTTTCAAGAATTTCAAAGACAATTAGGAAATATGAAATTACAGGTGCTACTAGCTAACGAGCGACAATTTCATCGTGGACTAACGAATAATTCGATCTCCATTTCTTTGATTAAAGCTGAACGAAATTCGCAACCAGGTTATAAGAATTAGTTTCTTTCTACTGTTTCAATACTATATATTTATGTTTTTAATTTATAAAGTTCAAAGGTGAAAATTCAAATTGTTATTCGACTGCAACACAACCTTCCGCAACAGAACCAGCAGGAACAACGCCAGCTGAATTGTCAGGAGACCGCAGAAATGACGAAATATCAGTACCAACCAGTTCCGTAGCGAACAATGCGAACGATGCTGCTCAAATGGATATTTATCGGGATTTGATACTACGACATCTCATTCAAGATATAAATACAACATGTACCAAACTTGGACTACCAACAGGTCACATTCTTCTCTAATACTTCTTCCTTTCTTCTATTGCTACAAAAGCCTTCCTAATAATTATTGCTTGTGAAATCATTTAGCGCTTAAACTATTTACTTTATGAACAATTTAATAGGCTATATTATACCTTAGGACTGGAAATTTTTTGCACCCATCGCGATGTTTTGACCATTCGATAAAGACTCATAACTTCCATGACACGCAATCATTTGGATTGCACAGAAATCTACTGTTGAATTCTTTGTTGTTTGTGTTCTTCTTTGCAAAAAAAAAAATAAAGGATTACAAATTATATCATATCCGGTCATTTACTAATCAATTTTTTTTTCAAAAAAAATTTTGCTGATTTTCCAATATATGTTTTGCAGTAATGCTGATTTTATCTGTACTTCTATATTTTCGAGTTCTACAGTATAAGTAGCTCTAACAGCTGCATTCTTAATGATTAGAAGACTGCTGTTTATCGATGGCATTCGATAAGCAGCTGCTGTATAACATTGTTTACAGGTCAAACCCACTTCTCGAACACCTGACAAGGATTGCTAAGTACCTTTTTAGGCGATTTTCAAAGGTCGTGACTTGTTTTGGAGATATGAAATATGGGTACGATTGCGTGATTGTGGGTTGGACTCTCTCAGTAGGTAAACCAGAATCACCATGAATGGACAGATGTTGGTTTACCTGTGATACCTCCTCATTTACCTATTCCCCATCTGCTCATTGTGTGTTGCTTTCATAATCAACTTCCCTCCTTATTTTCACATACGCCATTTTCATTTTGCCATCTTATTTTTTTAATTTACACTGTATTAAAACCAAATAGTACTATTTCCTACTTACTTATCATTTCCAATTCCAAAAAATGCTATATAAATATGCATTTTTAATCACCAGAATTATGAAGATTTAGAATATCTATAATAGAGTAAAATTCGTAACGTCCATAGCTGAAAATCAGTTATGGAGATTGCAACTTTTACTTCATTATAAACATTTTTCTTGAATTAGGTATACATAGCCACTGATTTCATTCAGGTAGACATCGTCTACCCGTCCATATTTCTGCTCGTTTTCCTGTTTATTTTACGGAATATTATCGCAAATCAAACCGAGAAAAAATATATATCGTATATGGATAGGTTTAACAGTGAAATCTCTCAATCTCCCTTTCTTTTTCTTCCATTTACTTGAATTCATCGGTTCTATGACGTAGTAGTGAAGTGTATAGATCAAATTTGGTAGATAAGAAATTTTTAAATATCAAAATGGGTTAAATGTGGAATAATTATGGACAGTTGTGAAAGTGAAATCAGATAGAAATTTCTCCCTTATGCTCCATTTTTGCAATTACAATCAATTATTTATACTTCAAAAAATTTTGCCTCTTTTAGTCTTATTCAATGATATCGCAAAAGTATTTATTTCAAAGCTAATGTCCTTTGAAATGAAAATTTTGTGTTGTATTTAATTTTTATATTTTTTAAACAAGAAAATTTGAAGACCCGCAAGCTTGGAGTGCCGAGCATAGTGCCCGCTGGATGTCTGAAATGTGCGTGCAATTTCAACTTCCCCCACCACGACAATTATACATGAACGGGCGTACTTTATTATCGATGACACAGGACGACTTTATGGTTCGAGCACCAGAAGGGGGTGACACGCTGCATGCACAATTACAATTATGGAAAACTGGTTAGCAAGGCATCTGAAACTTTATGTAAATATTCTTGGAACAATTGCTTAATTGTCATCTGAAATTTGTGCGTTTTTCTTTTTAGCATATGATTCATACAGCCAACAAAATAACAACAACACAACCACCAACAACAACAGTAATAATAATAACGGCAACAATCAAGGCATCTCACAAATAACCCAAAACTGTAATCGTTCCTCACAATATTGGGTACATTTCTTATATTTATTATTCGATAAATTCATCTGAAGTCAACAAGTTTAAGTGAGCAATTTTAAATTCAATTTCAGAAACTATAAATTCATTTTTACATTTATAACAACACAACAACAACAGTTTGTTTGTTTTATACTTTGTTTTCTTATAAGCTTTTTTTTCTGGGTTAAAAATGTATTTTAATTGTTGAAGATGGAAGATTTGTAGTCAGATCAGATCATTTTTCTCTTATTCTGCTATTGACATAGATAAAAATCATTTATCAAAAAAAAATGCGATTAAATGAATCGACATAACTTTTCTATTTATAAAATATCTTGTACTTTTACATCAATCGTACGGATAATATTTCAAGGTGAATCCTTCTCCACTGGCGTTGAATGTAACAGAACAAGGAGAACTGCTAACATCAGCGCAAGATTATTTAAATAATTTCAATCCAAGCAATACCGATGCAGCTATTGGCATGAGCTGTTATCCTAACAGTAAATAATTATGGCAACAATTTTCATTGTCAAAACATTAAAAATTTCCGGATTTTTTTAAATTAGAAACTAAAAGCATAACCATATTTCCCATCTCTTTAAAATGCAATATTTGGCTATATTTGTTGAAATGATTTATCTTGTTGACAGAATCTGTGTTTTTAAAACATTTGGATAAGTTTCTGTAACTCTTTTTTAATTGTCTAATAATATTTTATTTCCAAAATTTATAACATATTTTATTTCCAAAATTTATAACTTTTTTTTTAGATACATATCAAAACGTATCTCAAGAAGGAACTCTTCTTGGAAATGCTGCTGTACAACAGCAATACTATGCATCAGCCCAGACCGCTGGAATCGGAATTTTACCGAGTCCAAGCGATTCTGAAATATCTTCTAACGACTCTTCAATGAATGATGGTAAAATCTAAAAAATGATTTTAGAAATTCAATTGAATGAACAAACTTAGGTATGAAATTATAGAATCGAAACAGAACTGTTGCAAAAAGTATTGATTAGAGAAGGAATAATCCAACTTTCTTAAATTGATTTTAGATCTTAGAAAATTTAATTCATATAAATTGAAGTAAATACTATTGATGGGACTATCATTGATGCTCGACAAACAGGCACACCACAATTCCCTCGACATTCTGGCACAGTGCATCTTTGGCATTTCATCAGAGAGTTGCTGGATCATCCGAAGCAATATAGCTCATGTGTTAGATGGGTTGATAGGCAGGAAGGTATTATTTTCAACTGTACAGTTCTTTTAGCTTATTTTAAATAAAATTTACAAATTTAAATCGAATCAATAAAAATGAAAAAAAAAAGTGGAAGTGAGACAAATTCGCAATTTCAGGTACTTTCAAGATAGAATCGTCACACCACCTGGCTCGTTTTTGGGGTCAGCGCAAAAATCGAGCCCAAATGAATTATGATAAATTGTCACGATCGTTGCGACAGTATTACAAGAAAGGTATTATTCAGAAACCTGAGAAGAAGCAACGTCTTGTTTACAAGTTCCTTCCGCCATATAATTTGTAACTGAATTGTTCGTTGTTCGTATTTTGTCTAAATACTGTCTCCTCATGGACAGTAGTCAAGTAATGGTCGTTAGACCGTTGACCTTTTTTGAGGTCTTTTATCAGTGTCAGTGCGACGCAAAATAAGCGGCAAGCAATTTGTTTTATTTTTTAGCTCCATTATCTGCTTACTCATATTAAACAAAAATTTTATCAAACATAGTTTTATTAATTGATAACAAATTGCATTTCAAAAGTAGAATTGATAAATCGCAAAAAATTCGTATCGTATAATTTGCTTTGCATTTTAATCTTTTTCAAACAGTCTTTTCCTAATTGTAAAATTGAGCTCATTTTTATGTTTTATATAAATTCATTTCACTTATTATTGTGGTCTTTCATGGACAGCAGCATTTCATCACAATCAAAGTGTGCCTTTTTATCGTTTAAATTAAAATTCTTTTATAGTTACATTATCAATAAGATATTGCATATCTCTCACTGCCTATTCTTAATGAAGTTCTTGTGTCTCTCAAATTATTCTGTCATTTTAACTGTATCGATTTCACTGATTACCCATTGGTTTCATAATTAATTCGGTGCAGGTTTACTATATCATAAGAAAAAAAAGATGAAATAATTTGCTGTAACATCACCAAAAATAATCGATAACCAGAATCATAAAATAGAACTGAAATATTAAATTATTTTCATATTTGTCAATCGTTTTTCTCTTTTGCTATATTAAAAAGTGTTTGGTGAAATTACTAAATAGTTGACAAGTTTGAGAATGGACAAAAGAATATGGAGAAAGGCACTCCAGAAAAATTGTTATACAGTTCCTATATATAATAAACCATTAATTATGTGCTTTACTGACTACTGCTGAGCAATTGCTGTTAATTACAGTAAAAATTAATTTCTAATCCAAGAGCTTACTTCCGAAGATGTATTCATAGACAGTTCATTGGATTGCGATACATCTGTTCAGTAAAACTTCTAACTTCCAAAATACCAGATATCGTTGGTGGAATTGGATGAGGGTGCAATTTTTTCTAAACACAAACTGTAATTGGTAAATTAGTTTTGGGTTTTGTTTTTTCAACAGATGTTTGGTAAAATGCGTAAACAAAAAAAGATGAGAATCCTCTTGCAAACCTTATGATGCAACATTACCTCCATACAAATTTCCTTCAACGGAGGTACTGATATGTCGCTCAAAGATTCCAATTTATGAATACGCAAATCTTCCCTTCTTCCTGTAATTATTTTCGTTGCATAAAACATAAAAAAGAATGCTAATGTCTCCTTATCTGTAGAAAACATCTCTACAATATATGTATAATAGGAAAACAAGAGGACTTGGTCTGGTTATGATGCTGATTGGATAATCGAAGTGCTGGTCAGTGTCCATCGTGGTAACATGCTGCTTAGTGATGCTCGCTGATGCTGCTACTGCCGTTGGTTCTGATAGAACATCTAAAATTTAATATGTCTAAATCTTTTCCAGAAATTTTTTTCATCATTTTTATGCTCAAATCATTCATTACCTTTCACTGAAGTATCTTCTATTGCTTTTTGCATTCTTCTTAAAGAATCATTTTCAGTGGATAACGTTTTGAGACTGCAATAATAAAGTATGCAGAAAATAGATTATATATGTATATATAGATATAACTACTTAAAATTTGACTTCATTTTAATATTTCTGCAAAAATATCATCTAAAAGAATGATAATATGTATTAAAAGTTTCTCGGCAACTTTATTATTTAAGACAATATAAGCCAAACAATGTTATACCTCTTTTTTTTATTACTTTCAGTATCTCGTGGTTGAACATCAAAGTATTTGCCTCCATTATCACTTTCGGCAGTTTGAATGAATTTATCTTTTAAAAAAATAGTGTGTATGAGGGGTTTCTCGGCAGTTGTAGCATACGGTCGACCGCAGCTGTTGTAATAAACAAATAAGCAAAGCCATCCTGCTGCAATGATACTGGTCGCTATACCAATTACCACAGCTAGAATTTTAATTAAACATTTAAACTCATAATTTCATAATCGAAAGATAAGAGATTATTTTTATCAAAATGATTGTTTACCTTTTGCTACGATTAAATAGATACATTATTTTTTTTGCTTGTTTCCTTCTCCGATAGCTATTGAAAATCAATTCTTTTTGGCAAGATTTGTACATCCTTTTACACAAACTGTACATTGTTTCCCTGCCGATACATATAGCTTTGAGAAAATTTTCCACAAAAAAATATAGCTCTGAATTTCCACAAAAATTTCCACTGCCATTACTTTTATCAAAGTATATTTTCAATCAAAATGTTTTTATATCACATGAATGACAAACAAACTGATCTTACAAAATATTTATTGTAGGATTTCCCTAGTTAAATTCTTTAAAAAATCAATCTTATACACTTACCTACAATCCACCACTGCGATTTCCCATTACCAGTTGGTAATAACGCTAGAAAAAAAGAATGCATTTTCAGGAAATAATAACTTTGTATACTGACGCAAATTGAAATTCTATGTTTTGTTTGACAAACAAAATTTATTGTTAAATTTTGAAAAAATCAGGAAAAAGCATTCATAAATTGGTGATTTTGTTGAGCTAATATATCTCTGGAAAAACCGGAAATAATGGAGCGAAGAATATGATGACACAAAAACAAACATGTATTAATGGATCAAAAATGAAAATGATTAAGCTGAACAAGAAAAATTGTAACATGTACTTGTTATCGATTCAACAGGAATTCCTAGTCGTGCGGATATCCGAGGAAGAGATAAAAGTGATAAATCTGATACGATAATCTGTATTGAGAATGTTATTACTTGAATAATAAACATATGGGGATTTATATGAGAATTAAATAATTCTTAGGAAACATTTGTAGTCATAACAAAGATTTAGTATTGTTTTTTTTTGTTAATAATAAGAACATTACATGTAAAGCTTTACATTGCAGCAAACAGGAGGAAGAATTATTTCCCGTACTTAAAAATAATTAAGAAGTTCAATACAATTAATGCAGAATTTTTAAAGTAAAACTTATAACGAAAACGTTTGTTGAATGTGAAATGTGTCTATGAGATTGCTGCCTTCCATTTTTCTCTCATTCCCAATTAATCTTTAAAAAATATCAGACAGGTCAATTGTGTCCATGTGATATTAACGATGTTAAAATAAATGAAAGTTTAACCTCTGCAGGAATTGGCTTATCATTGTAAAGCACCACAAATATTTCTGTACAAGTTCGAGTAAAGCATTGCATTTTAAGTATCTAAAAGTTCAACATTATGTGAATTGTTTAACTGATCAATTTTGGATCGTATTATAACTTTTATATAATTTACTCTTCATGAACTGAAATGTTAATGAGTATCTGAAAAAATGTAATTTGCTTACTCTTATCATTAATTACAATGAATTTGATATGTTCATCAGGTAAATTAATAGATGATCTTTATCAAAAGTATTTTTTATCATACCTAACGTTCTCATCAGAAATCATTCAGAATATCTTACCTATACATTTACCGGATATTACAGTGTATTGACATTTTTCTTTTGGAAAAATATGAGTGAAATTATAATAAGTTGTAAATGTGCTGAGAAAACTTAATCAGGCAGAAACAATTTAGATATCATACAAAAATTAGTAATATTTTGATCTCAGGTACTCAAGTACTCAAGTATTCAGCTACTCATCCACCTACCATTTGTTACGGTGTATTTCAGCATGGCATGTCTAATGGAAAAATCGCTTAAACAAATTGTTACATATTAAAGTAGTCTGTAAAGAAGACACGTATCGAGAATAATATTACATATGACTTCGAATTATTCTAACTTCCTAACTGCTGAATTCCATCAACTTAATTATCGGATTGTTGTTGTCGATTTCTCAGATTTCTATTACTATACATCACATGCTAACTTTCAAACAATTTACAATACAAATGAAATTATGAAAAAGCGATAAATGCTTCTTTTGTTGCATGCTAATAAAACTGTTTCAATTATAAATATAATCATATGTCATATATGTAGGTGATGTTAGACTTAATTTATCGTCGTTATCGACAGTATATTATCCTTTTTCATTGCTTTCATAAACATTTATAATTTGTTTTCCATTTCACATGTAATTTTTAATAAATTAATCTTTTCTTCATCAAAAAATCATCTTCCTCCAATTCCAAAACATGCAACCATGTTAATCATCTTACTATAATAACAACATCGCGTCTTGTTTACATAATTTCACTTAAAATATTTCGTACTCAATTTAAATAGCTTCTTCGATAAATGGAATCTTAGAATATCTCCATAGCAAAGGAATGACTTATAATTATTAATGTTTGTTATCATACTTCATGCTATATTATCAGCTTTAGTATATCATCATTTTCATAATCCCTACTTCATCACTAATCGTATTGTACCGATATCACTAAACATCAACGTGCCAATTTCTAAATAAGTTTTAGTCACAAGACAACAACATTATCAGCTGTTGAAATTCGTCAAAAAGGCTTCGTATCCTCCTTTGGTCTATTATAGCTTGCTAGCCTTCCATTGATTTTCATTCAATTCATTGACGCTTATTTGCTATAACGCTACTTTAATATGCTTCAGCCATTATTAAGTACATATATATATATATACAACAGATACACACACGCATACACATACATACGTATATAGATATAGATACATACATACCTAAATGCAACTCAAGTTGGAGTTATTCAGTTATTAGCCAAGCAAAGAGCAGAATAACTCTAACTTCCAGGACTTATTTATATCACTTTAATTATTCATACTTGTTTCAATTTTTCAAGCCGATATGCATACCTAATTAGCCATAGTGGATCACCAACAAATGTTGAATAAAATTAACGCAGCTGCTATTTTGATGGGCTAATCGATTGGTTCTCTTACATTACCTTCTTCTTTCATCATTTAAGCTTTAACTTCATTTTACTAATATTCCTCT